AAGGAAATGAACTCAGTGCTTCGGGCAGCGATGCACCAAATATTGCAGCATGTTGCTGGGTTGTGCAGCCTGCCCTAATGCAGCCAAATGTATGAGTTCTGTACCTCAGCATAACAGCCTTCCTATGTGGAAATCAGATCTCTGCAGTCAGTGAGTTCTTTCTTGCTATATTCTCAGTCTGCCATCAAGCCCGCAGTTAGCTTATTTGGGATTCTTGCTGGGGTTCTTCTCAGAGTCTGTGGTCTCTGTAGCTGACAGCCTGACTTCCCCCTCGTGAAAACTACATACTCCTTATCCTGTCTTTCTTGGCTTTCAACTGTACTTCTATCCACACAAAGATGACATGAATTAAAAGATAGAATCAGGGAGTTAAAAGTATGCAGCTGGCATCCATAGTTGGAAAGATAAATGGTGGAGCTCTGAAGCAGTCTGTCTAGGAATCTGTGCTTGTCTGTGTGGTCATAGCTGGGAAAAAGAAGAGTGTGAAGTAAGTTCATGTTGGTGATGAATTACAGTGGTACTGAAGCCAAAGGTCAGCTGTGAAAAAACAGTGAGTGACCCTGTGAAAATGAGTGGGCAGTAAAACAGCAGGTGATGTTCAGTGTAAATAAATTTAAATGACAAGGAGAAACAGCCCCAAATTAATATATAAAATGGTGGTCTCTGAGCTGACCGTCACTACTTGGGACGATGTAGAAAAGGTAGAAATTTGCAGTCTGGGAAAGATGTTTGTGATAGTGGTCAGAGTGGCCTGGAGAGGGTTGGTGGGGATCTGCAGTTCAACGTCTGTTCCAGTGTAGGACCTAGGCAGTTTGTAATGGAGTAAGTAGAGGCAGCTTCAGACAGAAGTGATTTTTTCCACACATAGTGAAACTCCTGACCACGGTACATGGGTGTGTTAGGAGCTTACCTGAGTTCAAGGGGAGACGGGAGAACATAGAAGAGACACATCAGGTTCAGAGCAGTTCTGAGCTGCAGGTCACTGGAGTTTGGGGAACTGCTTGGGGGAAGAGTCACTACATGCTCTCTAGTCTTGTACCCCTTCATTTGTAGCCACTTCTGTCACTGTGGGCAGCGAGGTGTTGAACTAGGATAGACCTTCAGGCTGACTGTACAAGCTTAAATTTAGAAAGGCTGGCTAGCAAAAGCCCTAGTTCATGTAAATATAATGTATGCATATATAAACACATGCAAATATACATGTGGCATACTGTAGTTCTTCCAACAAAATAAGGCTGGACTGACCAAGCATGTTGGAGAGGAACTTGCTGAGTGTGCTTTCTATCATGCCCTTCAGAATCTGTGCTGAGACAGGGCAAGTGCTTCTTTACTCCAGAAGAGGTGGCACACAGACCTTCGGCATACAGACCTTCTGAGAATGTGCCAGGTGCCATTGGTCTGCCTGTTGCTTTCAGGGTCTCTCTCCGTTAGAAAGGAACAGGCACCCTTTCCACTCCAGTGTAGAGTTCATAACTGGAGAGCTGGGTAGTAGCTCAGCAACTTCTGCTAATCAAATTGTGTGTAGTAATGTTCAGAAGTCTCAGGCAAAAGTACAAAACAAAAAGGATTGCTTTGGACCAGAAAGACTTCTCACCTGAGTCTTCCTTGGCCTCTGTCTTTGTTGGCTGACAGCAGTTTGGCTGCTTTCTACTTGCCAGCCTGCTGCAGCAAACAAGTACATTCTCTCTTAACAAGCCCACTCTGCTAGTAGAGAACCTTGCCATATTTGGGACCTCAGCTCAATCTTAATAAAGCTGAGGAGCATGCCATTTGGACTACTTGAAGACTGCACCTTGTCATGTCCACTAGCCTGGAAGTCTGCGGGCTCCCAGGTGATCTGCTGAATTACCAGCTCTGAGTGATAATCACACCAACACTGATTTCATTCCAGGGGGTACATATGTTCCATATAAACTCAACTTTCCCAACTCTTACACAGTAAGCTTTTTTCTTGTCTCTCTGTGACATACATAGAATTTAGGAAACTTTGTGTTACCTTGATTGAAATGAGATGCTTCCTCTTAATGAAATGGTATTGATTTCCTTTCAAGGATTTAGACTGGGACATCTCCTGCAGTAATCAGGAAGATGCAAATGAATTCAGGGTCTTGTTTTCTCCCTTGTTCTTCCCTTTTCCCAGTAAAAAAATCTGCTTATTTTAGTTCTGCTGCTAACACCTTTGGTTGAATTTTCTTTCAGACCTAAGAGTGAAAGAGGTATAGCTAAATGGATGAAAGTACCTTTTGTGAAAGTATCATCCGCAGTGAAAAAGCAGTAGGGTAATGCAGCATATAGGGTTTGCTCAGAGATCTGCGATGTATTTGCTTGGCATTCAAGCCACGTAATCATAAAGCAGCTATCTATTTCAGAATTCATCATTGTGTAGTCCAGGTAAAAAGGTGGCGCTTCTTGACTCTGTCTTTGAGGTCATCTGCTAAGAGGTAGCTGTTCATAAGAGTTGTATCAATGTGTTCCTACTGCCTGCTGGAATCTCCTAGAAATCTGTGATTCTCTGTTTCAGATGAAGACATGAGACAGGTGCGGGTGTCCATTTGCTTTATATGGTATAGTGTGCTAAATAATCTCTGCAAAAGGGTCCTTATACCCAAATCACCTTCTTAATACTCTTATGAACTATCGTGTGTTGGTACTAGGCAGCCCTGAAACAGCCTTACTCAAAGAGGACAGTCAGTTCCTCGTTGAACATCTGGAAGACTTTTTCATAAACTGATTATGTCGAGTAAACGCTCTGACAGTGTGCAGTAAAGTGTGCACACACCAAGAACATGAAGCTCCGGGGAGAAGAGCTCGAACTGGAACACAGCTAACCCAGCTGTAAGTGGGTGGGCCTTCAGCTTTGACAGCAGCATGCCTGGGAGAGTCAGCACAGGACTCGTAATCCTCTAGCTGGGCTGTACCTCTGGTGCTCTTGTCTGCAGAATGGCTCTTCAGGCAGTACCATTCTCCCTGCTGCTGTGTCCGGATACTGCTGCATTATCGATTCAGAGTCGTGATTTCCCCATAGCTGCTCCCCCACATCACGTGCAGTCTCCTTGGGCATCCAAAATAATACGTAGTCAGCAGGCTCCTCTGCCTTGTGTATCTTAAGGTTTTTCCCATAACCAAATCTTGTCTTCTTTAACAGGTGGTTTCTTCTTATTTTACTGAACAAAAATTTTGGAGACATAATCACGCTATACTCTTTGCCTGCAGAAGGTTACAGTTGACTCTGGGATTCATTTTTAGCTACTCTGGTCTGCAGGCCGCGGCTACATGCCTCTTCTGGCAGGGCAGGCCTCACTGTGGAGGAAGCAGAGTGCCCTGTGCACCCTTAATGCAGCTAGTGTAGTCAAACCTGAACGAAATGAAAAACAAAACTTGTTCCTCTGTGGGCTACTGTTTGACTTTGGTACAAAATGAATGGAATTCTGTCTAATTTCTTGTGCCATTGTCCGCATCACAGACTCCTGCCCTGCAGGCCCAGGAAAAGAGTTTCAGGAAGCATCAGCAGTAGCCCAGTGGTCGGCACTGGGTGACTGTCAGGCTGGCAAGGTTCCTATGGTCTGCACTCATGCTTTATTTTTGTTGCCCTTTCCCTAAGATGTTGGTTCTTTGCTAAATGTGTGTGGTGCAGCAGTGCTCAGAACCTTCGCTGGGCACTGTGGCTGCTGCTGTGGTACACACAAGGATTATGGTCTGTAGCAGTAACTTCTGCTTTGGCTCTACTGTGGAGGCATGAAACTGCCGTTGTTGGCCTCCCCACAGCAGCTAAGCAGGTCAAGGGAGGTGTGCAGGGAAGTGGGCTGCCATAAACAAATGAGAGGGATTCCTTGAAAATAGTAGTGTTTCACCTCCAGGTGGGAAACTTTTTCTCTACTAGCTTAAGACCAGTTAAGTGACATAGTGCTGAGCAGAGCTGTGTGAGCAGGCATTTGGCACTTTGGGGGTGTAGGTGTATCATTTCACATCAGTAGCGCTGTCAGTGTTCCATGTTTCCTTTAACGCTGGACCTTTCGTTTCCTTTTTTTGTTAGAGGAGTGCCCAAGCACTCGGATCTCCATCAGTGCCTCCAAATGTAGCTTGTAACTACGTTGCTTTGCCCTACGTTATATTCAAACTTCTTCCCTTTTCCTTTGGAGACCCCAGCAGCTGGGCCAACTTCAGCCCTTCTTAAACCAGATTCTGTTGTGAAATGACATTAGCCTCATACTATGCTGCTCCACAACCATCTCCGTGTGGCTGTTCGTTAAGTCTTGACCTCACCCTTTTCCTTTAGCTCTGTCTCCCAGAATGCCTATGGGAAAATAATGAACAGATACTCTTCCTTATTCAGCAAGGGACAGAAGACTATGGTATTCTTCTGGTGTCTTATATTCCTTTGCCCTAGTCAAGGATGTGTTATCTTTCAAGTCCTGAATTGATGTTTGTAGGCCCCTTGTGGCATAGGTAACCTCTGGACTGCCTGAAGGGTTTGATCTCCAGTAGCTGTTACGGCAGTGAATGTTTCTGCAGCACTGCGAACTGGTGATGATCTGGTCTGCAGCCTTCTTATATTGCACATGAATTCACTCTAAATACCATCTGCTGGCTCATGCTCCTTGCCTCTTGCAGAACTGGGTTAGGTGAGCGGATTGGAGCAGAGACTGTCCTGGAGGTGACTGGAACAATGATTACTCTTAGTAGATAATCCAGGTGCTCTAGGTCTTCTCCTTAGGTACTGTGAAGCTGCAGGGATCAATTTTAGCCTGCCAGTGTCCTGGGCAGTGATCCTGACACAGTAGTACCTCAAGAGCTGTCATACTTTTTGCATTTCAAAGTAATTTTCCTTCTTTGTAGGAACAAACCCAATTCCTTCCCAGGGTCTTTCTGAGCTCCTTGGAGAGAGCTATGGAGTCACAGAATGGAATGCCGAAGCTTAAGACGATTACA